TATTACTTAATACTAGGGCTAATACTAATTTTATTTTAGTTTAATATTTATAAAAGTAAAGTATTAAAATAAATACTAATTACATGGTATAACTAATTTAATATACTAATAATATTTTTACTTTTTATTATAAGTATTTATAAGCTCGTACTTAGGTTTATAATTTAAAAAAAGTTATAAAAATATTTAATTTAATATATTATATTATTAATCTTATTTATAAAAATTATTAAGTAGTCTTAAAACACCCCTAAATAATTAAAGTAGATCTAGACCTTTACCTTATTATAATAAAATAAACATGGTAAAACTATATATCTTTTATTAAAATTAAAATACCATAAAAGTTTGTAAAAACTATGCGTAAAAAACTAGTACTTATAATATTTTATTAATTAAAAAAAACTAAAAGGGGAGTAAAGGTGGTCCTACTACCCTAGTATATTTATTAAAGTAAAGTTTTTTTTAAGTAAGAAGCTACTTAACTTTTAACTAATAAAGTAAAGTATAAAATTTTATTAAAAAAAGGTAAAAAGCTTTTATAAGGTCCTATTTATAATTTTTCCTAGCATAAATTATAAATATTAAAAAAGTATTTTAATAAAATACTTAAAAAAAAATAAATTAGGTTATTTTAAAGCAGCGCCGGAGTGCCAGTGCTTTTTATTTAAAAACTTAATAAATTTTTATATTTTTATATTAACTACCGCGGTTTAAATGCAATAATTAATAAAAATTATTATTTATTATCATGTATTAACAAGCTAATAAATTAGCTAGTAAATATAAGATATTTTACCAAGCTAAATTTATATAACATATATTATTAAATATAAATTAAAAGGGGAAATAAATAAAAAATAGCATTTTAAACCTATTATAATTATTATAAATATATAGTTATACCCTTTAGCTTAATAAATATACTAGCTATATTTTAATCCTATATAAATATAGCTATAAGCAGGATTTTTAATAAGTTTTATATTATTTATCTTAATAACATTCTTATTTTCTTAAAAATAAAAAAAAAATATGTACACCATGTTTAGAAAGTCCTTAATTAATTAAAAAGGCATAATTTATATACAAAATTATTAAAATATAATTTTTATAAAAAAAAGGTAAAGTTTTTAGGCTTTGTTATTAAATAAAAAAAAATATTTATTAATCTAGACCGCAGCCGGACCATTACTAATTAGCTAAAACTAATATTATTTTATAAGTTATAGGTTTTTTTAGGCTTTATAAATTATTTTTAATACTTTATTTTTAGTTATGCTAAAGTAACATGTTTAATAACCTAGCTCTTGGTAAAAATAGTAAAAAAATATAAAAGTAGGCTTTTTTTATTTCCTACTAATATAAAAAATATATTTAAAAAAATTAAGTTAAACTTTACTAAACCGCCGGTACTGCAGCACTTTAATTTTAAAAAGAAGATTTTTATTATTATTAATATATTAAGATTTATTATTATTAAAATTATTACGCAGCTAAAGTAAAAGAAATTACCTAGTAAAAAAAAAATAGGACTAGTAGCACCCTATAGCCTTTTATTTTTATTAATTATATAAACTAAAGTTTTATTATAAGGTTTATAATTAAAAACTGCTCGCAGTAATTAAGTACTTTAAAAAGTAGTATTATTACCTTAAGGACTTTTTATATTTTATACACGTGTAGTATAATTATAATAACCTATATTATTTTTTTATAATAAAGGTTTTAAATTAAAGGCAGGTATAATAAGTAAAATTACTTATAGCTTATAACTTTAAAATTAAGTATAAGCCAGGTAAGTATAATCTAGTAGATATACTATTATAATAATTAAATTATATAATAAAAAATAAAAAGCACTAAGTTAAAATACTTTTTACTTTATAAAAAAAGTTAAGTTTATTTTTTTAATAAATTACTACTAAAATAATACTAAAGGACCTAGCTATTCCTTCGCGTGGTTAGGCTTATAAATACCTAAAATTTTTAAGTTTTAAAATATTTACTATAAAAATAGCAAGTAAAAAAAAAACTATTAAACTAGTTATAAATACCCTTTAATAATAATTAATTATAGCCTAATAAAAGGACACTCTTGCAGGCTAATTATAATAATAACTTAAAAATATAATTTTTATTAATTTAGGGCAGGCCTT